CCAAGCTTGCCTAAACTTCAGCAGAAACTAACCCAGCCACTGCAGAACTCAAACTATGACAGAACAGGAAAATACTGATTTGGTTTCTGGGCAAGAAACAAATCCAGCTCATAGAAATCAATGGAGTTTGAGGAAGTTTTCTTTCCCTTTCCAAGGTCCTTACTGTAACTGGCTAAACCCATCATTTTTTGAAGTCCCCTCTGCAGAGCACTACAGAGTGAGCAGCTTAGTATTAACAAATATTTTGAAATATTTGGCCCATGCACTAAAACTGAGTTCATCCACGGTGGTGACGACTTGCTGCTAACTCAGAAAGCTCACAAGAAGTGACACATGAGAAAGAGACTATGACACTTTGCCTTGCACCATTCATTCTTGGAGTTCGATTGATTTAGCAAGGGGAAAATGTCAGAAGTTGATCTGAATCTATGAGGATTTTCATGAGGATCTTCAGACAAGGTGGTGGCAAGAGTCAGCAACTGGAAATTGGAAAGGGCAAAATTCAGACAAGATAAGAGTCAGGTTTCAGTAAGACGGGTAGGTAGCTGGGTCCTGTTACTTCTTACACTCTGATTTGTTTTACCTGAAAAGTGGCTGATGTGCCTGGGCTTGAAGCCATCACCATGACTTACGTCTGCAAGGAAAAATGCCCACACTGAATGGGCCTTAACCTTTGGTATTTCTTGGTTTTGAGTCTTTTAGTGTGCAACTATAACTGCCAAAGCTGGGGCTGAAGATGTGTGTATGTGTGGATAGAAGTTTTCTTTGGCTTACTCATGATGGTGATTTCTATTATTTTACAAAAAACTGGTTTTTGCAGGACTGCCGATATGGTCAGCTCCAGCTATGTCATTCTGACGTTCTGCAACGATTCATCCCAGAGCAAAACTACCCTACTAAGTTGCTACTAACTGTTGTAGGATTTTCTCCATGGGGTATTTGGAGAGTCCAGCCCCCCTTCTTTATGAGGGTGTGGGGGCAAAACTGCTCTTGGGCAGTTAGCACTTAGACATCACCTAAAATACCTAGAGATCCTTTACATAAATGAAGAGTCTGAGGGATAGGACCAAACCCAGGAGGTTGCTTCATACCTCAGGTCCTCAATGACTGCAGATAGATCTGGGCTGCTCAATGGCTTCTTTCCTCTGCATAAGACAGCTGTTTGCCAACGACAGTGTCAGACAAGCAAGCGATATCTCTCATATGCCACACTCCCTGTCTCACAGTCTTGCTGCCCTACCAGACTTTGGGAGGTCAAGCAGATGATCAAGCACCAACATTTTTCAAAAAAAGGACTAGTGATCTGGAGAAAGAGGAGAAGCCCTGCTTGACATGCACCCTAAAGATCCGGTGGCCCAAAAACAAGCGTCCTGAGGTAGACTGCCAAAAGTAGGGGTATCCAGGAGCCACAAATGGCCACTCTGAGACTTTCTGCCCTAGCCTTGGTTATCACCTCCCATAACTTTAGACTTCAAAATGTGACTGTTCATATTGCAGATGATGGTCTGGATTTGCTCCCTTGACAGTGGATTGCGATCAGCATCAAGACAGTCAAGGGAAATTGTTCACAAGAATTAGCGAGCTCTTCTTGTGCTGACTGGGGTGGGCACGTGCAGGGCCATCTGGACTAGATACTGGACATCTGAGCTGGGCAGCTGGAGCCCACTTTGCTGCCCAGTTTATTTCTCTCTGTCGACTGTGTGTTGAGCTGCTCTGCTGATGTGTAATAGTAGGGAGTCTGAATCCCTCATCACTCAAACTAAGCCACTGAGAGGCATCATGCTGTCTACATTAAACCCCTATCAGAGAGAAGTGAGCATGGCTCAGAACACTTCTGGATATCTTGGCCAAATTAAACCTTGCAGCTCCAAGAAGATACTAATGATTACAGCTGCAACAACAGTCATGCTGAACACAGCCTGTGAGCTCCAAAAAGAGTTAGTTTTATTGCTGAGGAAGCACCCTGCCTGTCAAGCATGTCCTCTCTGGCCCTCTCAGCCCCATGTTCTGCAGCAGCTTACCCCAGAACAGAAGCACACTTTGAGTTATTGCCTGGTGCTGCAGGTTTTGCTCCATGGCACATTCATAGAGCCTCAGCTCTGTGGTTTAAAAGCTCATGCAGTCATTCAGGCTCCTCAGAAATGAAATTTTCTGCTGGAAGGATGTCAGGAAGAACTGGTCCTAGATAGCACTTAAATACTATCTTAGCAAGAGGTCTTCTGCAAGCATGAAGAACCTCAGGTTTTCCTGTGTATTTAGACAAAAAAGCATTAATACCACATTATCTTCAGAAGGTGGCATCAACTGCTGCAGCCCTTCTCTTGCTAGGCCTACTAACACCAACTGACCTTGCTTTAAGCCATCAAAACTGAGGGTAGGGGGAGTCAAGAGAAGTGCAAGGCTTTGTAAACAGAAACAAAACCAAAGCCAGCTATTTGGGGACCACCTCTTAGAAGCCCACAGCAGCCCAGGCTGGAGGCAAGCTCTCGCCTTGCTTAACCTGCAAAGCGGGGTGGGTGCCCACATCGTGGGGCTCAGCATGCCCCAGCCACCCCCACTGCAAACTGCCTCAGCACCATCTGCCTGCAGGAGCACACACGCAAGGCCACAAACTCCCGCACGGCTCTTACGAACAGCAGGTTGAATATTGCTTCTTCCTTAAAACGTTCTCTTTCAATGGAAAACTTCCTTTTCAATTTAAAAAAAACCCAACCCTTTGGCCAATGCTTTTCACATCTTCTGGAACACTCCCTGTTTTTTCAGTGTCATTGAGAAAAAAAAATTGAATTTTAGAGTTTTTATAGTTTTTGGTTTCCTGTTTTTTCCCCTCACTCTTTTGATTCTCCCTTTCTGCTTTTCACAGTGAAATACTGGAAAATGAATCATGTCCCAGCGTGGGAGTTTTAACAAATTGTTTCATTTTTATCTTTCTTTCTTTCCTGTTGTGACTATTCCTTTCCCCCTGAACTTCCCCGCGTTGCCACGCAGCAGCGTTGCAATCCGTCAGGCGGACAGACCAAGCGCAGGTGCACCTCACCGCGCTGTCTGCCGAGAGGGTCAGAAGGGGCAGATCACTTAACACTACACCTGTTTTACGGATAACAACACAGACAGTTTTGCCGGGTTCCTGGGAGGACACTTCCCCACCAGGATAAACTCCTTGCGTTGAACGCTTTCACGTCTTTAACTCGTTTGAGGCTGGCTAGCTCAGTGCTGATGGGAAGCGAGGGCTGCGTCTCGTAGAGCCCTCTGGTGGAAACGGGCCCCGGGCTTGGGGAGCTGGACCGAGCCTTGCCGCTTGGGGGCTGCAGAGCCCGCCAGGAGCACCCGGCTTTGGGTCACCCCAAAAAGTTCTGCCTGGCCCTGAAGAAAGCGCTTGGTTTTCTCCCTCAGTGTTTAGACTAGCTCAGAAGGGAAAAAGAGCATTAACAAAAAAAAAAGGGGGGGAGTTTTTAAACAGGGAGAAGAAAGAAAGCAAAAGTTTCTGTTCAAGACGTAGAAATAAAACGATGCGATGCAAAGCAGCAGACTTCTCCAGCTCTTTCCTCACCAGGAGGGGCTTGAAGGTGCTGGGCCTCCCCATGCACAGCAGCCAGCAAGCCCCTGCATCGATGGGGGGTGACAGCAAGAAGCAGCAATGCTCGGCAGCCCTTGGCCTCAGGACTGTGCCTGACCACACAAGGTGCAAGAGCCCGAGGGATTTTCCTGCCCTGAGGGTCCCTCACCCCCATCCCGGGCTGGACCCGTGACCCCAGCAAAGGAGGACGTGGCACCGCGGGCTCCAGTCAGTGCCTCTCTCATATATTATTTTATTTGTTCTGTTGGCCTTTATTGAGAGTGAAAAAATAATTTAAAGCAATTATCTGTACAGGGGGTCAGGTGGCTGGTTAGCTGGTGGGAGAATCTGCAGAGCACCCAGGGCTGGGCCAGGGAGAGTTAGAGGGGGCGATTTACAGCTGTACAAAAACACGACAATCCCACCGAGGAGGAGCAGAGCGTGGGGGAAGCCTCTCGAGCCCTCCTAGGGCTGGGGTGGAGGGGTGGGAGGCTGTGCAGGGCCACAGAGGGGCTAGGGTCCGTCTGGGGTGGCCAGACCCTCAGGTGACCTGCAGGGGCGTTTCCAGCATCTCCATGAGGAAGGTGTCGATGGGGGTGTCCCCAATCAGCTTGAAGAAGAAGAGGTGCTCCAGGCACTTCAGCCCGATGGATCGCAACGCTGGCAGGCGCAGGAGCAGTTTGGCAAACCTGCAAGGTGAGGAGCAGCATCAGGGGTGCGGGAGAGGCATCGGTCACCCCCTCCCACACGTGGCTGAGCCTGAGCTGGGGGCTGTATGGAGCCAGGAGGGACTGGTCCCACATCCACAGCCTGGCTGGGGGCATTGGAGGTGGGACGGGGTCGTGCCTGAGAGAACAGAGCCCAAGTCCTGCACCAAAACGCCTTCGAGCGTTCTCTCTCCCCGAGGTACCCCGGCTAATCCATCTGGCTGAGTAGGGTATGAAGAAAAAGAGGGTCCCGGTTTTTTCCCCCTATTCTTTTAAAGCGGGGAAATAAGCATTCCTCTCCATATGCATAAGGGGAGAATACATCTTTAAAAAAAAATATATTGAATTTTTAAACTCGCGTGGGAAAACAAAAGAGATGCTCCCGGATTCTCTCCCTGGCCAGTGCTTGAATTAACGACTTATGTCTCCACCGCACCACCAAGATCACCTTCAAAACTTCATAGCCCACCCCGAGAAGCGGCGCAACCCTTCAGCAACGCCACTGCCCGCCCTTCCTTCCCGCTTCGCAGCCCTGCTGCAAGTGCAGTTGCGGTGAGCTGACCTTCCTCCCTCTCCTCCCCGCTTCCTCCTTGAAGCTCTCTGCAGCCGAGCCCAGAGCCAAAAATAGCAGAAGATGCTGCAGGCACTTCCCTTACTTAGCAGTGCGGGGGCCAGGGCCAGAGACGGGCACTGGTGTTTCGAGAGTTTGGCCAGTAGAGGGGAGGATTGGATCGAGAAGCAAGCA